TTTATTATAATTATACTAATTCATTATTCAGGTCACATTATAGTAAAAACATTCTGTTCCTTTTATTCATCATTCAACTGACATTTATGGAGGCTTATCATAAGACTTATCAGACTTATCTATCTGGTGAAATGCAAGGCAATGAGGACATAAAGATAAAAAAGACATTTCCTGATTTTTCCTGATTTTTGAATAGCCCACCATTGGTATGTAGATGCAGCCATGAAAAAAATTTTGTAGTAGTTAGACAGAAAACAAGATTTCTCTGCTACAAATAGGTACTGAATGCTACAGGAGCATTCAGTCAGAGCTGCTTAAGTACAATAATTCAGAGAAAATGACTCCCACCCAGATGCATTTCAATCATTTCGACAAGCCATGGTGCAAGATGTTGCATTCCCAGGCTTGCCAGACCAGTATGGCGCTAGTGCTGTGATGCACACTGAGCTTAGGGAATTAAGTTCTGCTGCCTCACAGCTAAGGGTGTCTGCAGAGAGAGACATACGGTAAGGCTATGCCATCCTCAGAAACAGTTTCTCATTCATACACATCATTTCAACTAGGTAGAAATATCTGGACAAAATGGTCATTTTAAGGGCACTGACTGGACAGAGGCAATTTTGTCTCTTGGTGTGTTCTTAGCATCCTTAACACCACTACATATGGTAAAATTTTGTGCATTTTAAATCTTGTTCACTTGAATATTTCATGTGTGGATTGTTTGTCCTCTCAAGCAGAAATTTTATTCTCCTAAGGGAGAAAAATGTTTCTTGTAGGGGTTCCTGACTCCCATATCAACTAGCACAGAGTTGAAGTCCAAAGTAGTTATTCAGCAAGTATGTTCATTGAATTTAATATGGAGATTACCAAAGTGGTCAGTAAAGTTGCATAATTTTTAAGGTCAAATCTATTTTCCAATAGGTACATTTATATTAAATGCCTTAAAATATCATACTTGATAATGTTGTTCTCATAGTAGCAGATTGCAAACTCATCCTGACTTCATTTCACGCCAATATGATGATTTATTTATTATTTAGTACCTCTGATTACTACTCAGCAGATCAGTACATAGATATTAATACCTAGTAAATACAAATTTTAGAAGCTTTTCATTTCTTATTGTGAACTTGAACTGTATACACACATATGGGAATTTGGAAAATATATTTAATTGTTGGAAATCTTTACATAAATGGAGAGGAAAGATTTTTGCTCCTAGTGAAGCAATCACCTTCTACGTGACAGAATCATTCACGATCTGACTGCAGAGCTAGATTGTGACTAATATTTGTCCCTAAAATTATAGGTGGTTACCATGGAGGCAATTTCCTTGGAAAAATTTAATCCACAGATGGATCCTAGCCGGCAACTACAATGGTGTCCAAAACTAATAGATATTTTTGCTAAATAAGGCCTGACTCAGCCAAAACAGACAGATTGACAAGAGAAATCTGTATCATACACTGCTCCCCACAAAGCACATGTATCCAAGTCCTAATGCTTTGGCACACTACAATTTTCCTAGTAGGAACATAATGAAAAGTCATTTATTAATTAAAATGCTTTTGCATATTGTTTCTTTTTAGAATGCAACAATGGAGCTATACAACTGTATCACACATATACAAAGGTTTAATTACAAAATATTATCTTTGTGTTCCTTTAAATGATTAGGGTAGATATTCTATTCAGACTGGGAAGCTGCTGATTATTAGATCTTTGACTGTTTTTTTTTTTGGTACCAGGGATCGAACTCAGAACCTTTCTCTTTTGAGGCAGGCGGCGGTGCCACTGAGCTAAATCCCCAGCCAGAAGCTGCGTATTTTTAACACCCTTAATTTTTCACGAACGTTCTTCTTAAATATACATAAGCCTTCCTGCATATCACCCAAACCATGAAAGAAAGGGTGAGAGAGACTCTGATGGCTAATGACAAAGACTGGGATGCAACCATTGTGTGCTTCCCATGGCTAAATTTATACCACTAAACATAATAAGCATAACTTTGTGCTCATTTCTTTAATGAATTTCTTCTGCCATATGAAACTATCTTGGCCTGTGGTGTATTTATTTAAATTTGACTATTAAAGCAAAACAATTTCAATCCAAGTTTCAGAAAAAAATAGCATCTCCTTCTTGATAACTGATTTTTCAACAGAAGTCATTACTTGGGGGAAAAACAGTGTCACTTCTCTGAATTCATATGGCCTGGAAAATGTTTAGCCATCTACAGATGCCCTAATTGAATCTTAGTAAAGAAAGTCTCAAAATGATTGATTTTCTTTTCCCATTTAGCCTTAATACGTTTTAAGGCATTCATTGGATCCTCAGCTTTTTCCTTAGAAGAAATCCAAGAGGCAGCTCATGTCTGAGGGAGCTTTTGAAGTGGACTGAACTGTTAATTTATTCTCCATCATTTGAGTAACAGAGCTAATTTGCCTATCTACAGATTCCTTTAGCTTTAGGATACATCCTGGATTCTTTTTGTTTAATTAGTACTGTTTGTAGAACATGTTTATGCTCCTTGTGGGGAATTGGTGCATATATATAACACATTTTAATTCCTTTTTCATTCTCTTTCCTTCTCCTTCCTTCATCTTTCAATCTTTTCCTCATTTGAGAAAGCCCTATATCCCTATTTCCCATTTATCTATCTTTTATTTTTCTCTTTATTTGTATTTTGGGTTTGTCATATATGAGATGCCAAGTGATATTTAGCTTGTGTGTCTGATTTATTTCACCTGACATTATGATCTCAAAGTGCATCCATTTCTCCATAAATGACTGGAGATTATCTTTCTCTATTATGTGTAAATGCCACAATTTCTTCACCCATTAATCTGTTGATGGACATATAAGTCGTTTTCAAGATTAAGCTATTATGAACTGTGCTGCAATAAATATGGATATGCATGTATCTCTGTAATACATATCTTTAACTCTTTTGGGAAGATACCTAGAAGGGGAATAGTTGAATCAAAGGGAATTACTAGTTTTAGTGTTTGGGAAAACTCCATACTGATTTCCATAGTGGTTATAGTAGTTTACATTCCCTTGAACAATTTAAAAGGGTCTCTTTTTCCCTCTGCAGCCTGGCCAGCATTTGTTATTACTTGATTTTTCTATAACAGCCATTCTTTCTGGGGTGAGGGGGAATCTCCATGTTGCTTTAATTTTCATTTCCGTAAAGGCCAGAGATGCTGAACGTTTCATCAAATATTTATTGACCACTTGTACTTTTTCTGTGAAGTTTCTGTCCATTTCACTTGTCTATGTTTTCATTGGGTCTTTTATTTTGGGGGGTCTAATTTTTAAAGTTTTTTTTATATTCTAGATATTGGTCTTCTGTCTGAGGAGTAGCTGGCAAATTTTTTTTCCTATTCTGTACACTGTCTTTTCACTTTCTTGGTGGTTTCTTTTGCCGTGCAAAAGCTTTTTAATTCGATATGATCCCATTTATTGATTCTTGCTACTATTTCCTGTGTAACCGGGGTTCTGGGTTCTTACACATTAATGACCTAATAGCTTTTATAGCAGACCTCCCTTGTGTGAGACAGCATTTCCACTTACAAGGTTTCAGAAGGCCACAGGGTTTGTGACGGGGCTTGGTATACGGCATAATCTCACAAATGAGACGGAGAGCGAGGCCCCCGGGCTATCAGAACTCTCACAGTATGTGCACGACTTATTCTACACCCGTTTAATTTAAGCATCTTGCTCGGTGCTGGGAAATAAGGCACACTTGGTCTTTCAGCAAGCAGCGAGTGCAACACCCAAGCGCATTTCAGCAGCACCTCCTAGGGGCCACGTGAGGAAAGGAGACCAGGAGGTGGGCAGACGCGGAACGCTTCCTGGAATTGCCAGTTTCACCTCTCCTATATGCCAGCGTGCACCCCTCTGTACCGCCCAGTACGCCAGCTAGTTTGCTGAAGTACTCTGGTGACTCAGTGAGGCCTTTAGAGGTCTAAATAAACTGCTACCCATTCGACTGCTTGAGGAAATAAACATTAAGAAACACAGGGACTGCAAACTTAGCGGAAGAAAAGACTCCTAAATATAGCTCATCCCTGAAGGGCACGACTTAGTTATGATACCGAAAGCCTGAGATAACACGCACTCAACACCCACACACCCACACGGAACAATGTAGACATTTCCAGGGTCTGACCCCGCGGAAAGCACTGAATTCGATTTTTAGGGGTCCACACGCTCTCCTCTGGCTGCTGGGAGCAAGGGCTGGGAGGCGCTGCTGCGAGGGCAGAGCCGAGTTTCTGTAGGAGTTGCTGTTCCAGAGAACTCATTACTGTCAGTTGTTCTGACTTTAGATCATCCGAGCGTGCGGAGCGGTGGTGGAGAGAAAGATCGAGGGAGGACAAGGCGAGAGAGAGCGAGACGCCCGCCCCGCGGAGACGGCTCGGCTCTCGAGGAGTCCTTTGCCAACAGGCAGCGGAGAGCCAAGCAGCAAGCACTGGCCACACTCGCGCCTGGCGACCCCGCTAGGTACCGTCTTAGGGGTTCGACCTGTCCCCCTCTTCTTCCTCGGCTGCTCCGCGCGCTGCAGGTCCTGCAGGGGGTCCGGGGTTCGAGGTAGGGGAGAGGGAAACGTGGCCTGCTGGACTTGCAATCCTTGCCTGCAGCAAACGTCTGGCCCCAGGCACCTTGCAGGCCCCTGGAGGCGCCGGCACCGCACAACGGCCCCCCAGGAGGGGAACCGGAAAGTGGGCTCAGCGAGGGGTAGGAAGCTTTGCCCAGGCTTTGCAGAGGCTGCACGCAGAACCCGGCCGCGGAGCTTCCCACCTGCTGCTTTCCCTACCCGGCTGCAACTTCCTCCTCTCCTGCCCGGCCGGACTCCCCGAACGGGCTCCCAGGGTGGAGGAGGAAGCGGCGGCAGGTTCCCTCCGCTGGCAGCTGCTGGGGCCGCGGGTGAAGCATCCTCCCCTCCTCGCGGGCTGCGATTGGCCGGCAGCGGCCCGGGGGCGGAGCCGGCAGGGCCGGTATCGCGTGGACCGCCTCAAAAGAGCCCAGGATATTGCAGAGCGCACTGGAGCGCCTGGCAGCGCGCAGCCTTCCCGGCGCCGGCAGGCTGGGTCTTGGGGATTCTGCTTTGCTTCGGGTCACTCACTTTACAATCCACTGGATCTCACATGCCTCGGTACCTCCCACTTCCACTCCATGTCTCCATGCTCCTGTGCCAGCAACAGGTAAGGACTGCTGTGTGCGTTTTCTGCCCTCCTTTCCTCTCGCTGGCCGTGTGTCCCGGGGAGGGGACTCGGGCCACCGTTCCCTGCCCTGCCCTGGCCCTGCTGCTCCAGAGGTGCCCAGCTGTCATGCTCCTGTAGCGCTGTCTCACGGTTCGGAGTCCTAGCTCGTGTCTATGCAGTTTGTGTGCGCCCCAGAACATCCTCAAGAGCTAAAAATACTGAGACACGCTTGGAACAGTTGAGCAACAGAAACAGATTTCGCTGCAGCATCTGTTTGTGCTCATAACTTCCAATGCACCAGCTGTAGCGAGATACAGGGTTTGGAGGCAAGGGCAAGAGGCTGTCTTGATTCTCCTTCGGAGGGGGCCGAAGAAAGGTGGTGGTGGTGGGCGGTGGGAGGTGCGAGCGGAGCCTCGGTCTCAGATCTTGGCAAAGCTTGGGGCTCAGCACTCTTCTAGATCCCTCAGTCTTGGCTGGGGAGTGGGGGTGGTCGTGGCTTCAAGTATAGCTTCCAGTTCCAAACAGAGCGAACATCTCAAAGTTATTTCTCTGGGGAAGGAGCAGGAGCCCGAATTGGATTTCAGCCTGAAGACCGCAAAACTTTCACATGATATGTCTCTGGCCTAAGCGATTTGTTATTCTTAGTAATCATGGTGTAAATGCCCAGCTTGAAGATAGCGGTGGTTTTAGGGAAGCAAAGAAACAAAACGACTGGATTCTGCAAACATAAAAAGATTGCATCATAACTTGAATTCACCATGACAGTTGAAAAAAATAGAGATAGAAAATGGGTAGTTCGGTGTCTGTGAGGGTCAGCCAACGAGTAGCACAGTAACTAAGATGAGGCTGTGAATTTTAGATTTACATAAACTCAGAATGTACCTGTTAGGAAATAAGGTGTTGTTTGAAAACCTGTTGTGATATGCAAAGAATGCATATTGTTTTCTGTTCACATTAATAACCAACATGCTGACAGATTTGCTCTTGGTAACCGCTGTTGTATATCCACTTTACACTTGTTAACGTCTTCCTTTACCTTTCCAAATGTTTTATCTATATTTGCCAAGGTCCAGAATAATCCTGATGCTCAGGAGGGAGAGCTGTTACTTCATGTATGGTGGGGTTGAGGTCAAGGTCATTTTACTTTCTGCCCCTTCCCCTCATATTTTGGTGGCACTTAATTTTTTATACTATTGGTGTTCTTAAGGAATACTCGTTTTACACTCTTGGGAATTTTTTTTTTTTATTTTAAAGAACGTAATCTCTCTACATCCTTCAGTCTTTCTAGTTGTAGAATCTCTGGCTAGCTGGAGAGTCCTTGTATGACTTTTGAATAGTCTGAAAGATTGTCCGCATCTTTACCTGAACTGTGCCACAATTTCTGAGTTAAAAAAAAAATATATATATATATATATATTGTTGTTTACCAAATGTGCTTTTTGAGCATATGCAAATATTAAGCATTGCTGTGTGCATTCTGGAGCATGAAGGTTAGAGACCATGCTCACGTGGATGGATGGGTGTTCCCCCCTTCTGTTTTCCCCTTCTCCTCCCCCTTCTGTTTACTGAGCTTCCAAGAGGTTGCTTTGCTAGCAGTTGTGCTCACGTAGCAACTTGTGCCCAGAGCACACTCAAGCTGGTCTATATGGCGTCAGCTGGGGAATAGCTGCTCTAAACACTCATTAGCAGACCTCTCTCAGCCCAGTACACTTTTGCTATTTCCTTTTCTTAGTCAGAAACTTTCTTATTCACTGCATACCAAGACCATAGTATGAGACCCAAGTTATTCTTATTATTCTTCATTCCAATTTTTCATATGGCCCATTGGAATTATCCCGTATATAGTAAAATCGATTTAGATGACCCTATTTGTACCATGTGATCTCCTTGACCTTGTATTTGTCCACCGCGCTCTCTCTCCCTCAACATCTACCTAAGATTGAAGCACTGAACTATTTTTTTCCATTGCTTATGCTTAATTTTGGCTCAGTCTATAAATAGTCTTAACATGAACAGCAGCACATGTAGCCTTTCAATTTCCCAGAAATACTTTTTACATCAGTGGTTATGACCTGGGTAAAATGATTATCTATGTCCACTGAGTTTACATCCAGGCCCTTAAATATTTGGGCTGAAAGAGGAATTTATACATCGTTCATCAAATCAAATACCACTTCAGAGCAACAGTTATCAAAAAGTCCCAGATCATTTACTATTCTCATCTCTTCTTAATCAACTCTTTGTCCAAATATTATTGGGAATAAAGTGGCATGGGAGCTTCTTTTTTTATATAAAAGCTTTATCCAGATGTTCATGAAATGGTCATTTCTAGTGAGAGAAGAATGGGAGAAGAAATTTTCTTGTCTAAATCCTCAGGACATGTGGCAGGTTAACGGCGAAGGTGATCTTTGTGGTGGATGATAAGGTAATGTGCCTACACATTACCTTATCAGAATTTGGCAAGTTCTAGACTTTTGCTATAACACCAACTCCACAAAAGTCTTAATACACATAATGTGTGGGCACCTATACACACACAAATCTGTTTAGGGGCATATCTGTTTGAAGTGACAAAAGTTTCTATTTTGCCAAAAAAAAAAAAATCCTCTTTTTCCTTTTCCAGGAAAAATGGTAAAATTTCTAAATGATGCTCCACATGTGGAACAAATTCTGTCATTAGCATTGGAAATAAGACAATAATAGTCACTCAATACAGGCTATTTTCACGGTTCTAAATGCGGAAAACTATTCATAGGAAGCTGGTATTGTGTGATTTGTGGAATTCAAACAAATGTCCTGGGGTCAAGATTTTTGGAAAGCCATAATTCAGCCTTTAGTTTTCATATGGTTGTTACGTTTTAATCTAGAAATGATGCAGAAATAAGTTCCAAGCATTTGAGACTGTATGCTCGTGGCCCCTAATGGTAACTGATGAGAGGATTGTTTTGAATCATAAAAATGAAATTTCCTGGTGTCAGCTTATAATAAGAGTTTCCAAAATCAATCAGATTTCAAAGATATAAGCATTATTTTCAAAAGCTCCCACTCATTTGGTAAAATACACCTGCATTTGGTATTTTCTTGCTGTGTCTGTCTCTGTGTAGAAGTGCTTGACTGTTTCATGTAAGCCAAAAAAGCTGAAATCATTGTTAAAAAAATTCTTTCCATGTCCAGGATCTAGAACCCTGAAGAATAAGATTCTTTTTTCTTTTGTCCAAGTGCAAACTTCATAGCAAGGCAGACAAAACATTGAGCAGGTGGAAGGTTGAGAAAGCACAGTAACTTCTTTTTATAAAGTAATTCAAAGGCACTTTCAAATCGGGCATCATTTAGGTGTCAAAAGCTGCCAAAATGTAACACACATTGCAATTTTCACAGATGACTAATCTCAGGAAAAATGTGTTGGGGCACATTCTTGCATAATAACTTGGATATAGAAGAAGAAGTCGAGAGATTGTAACAAGCCATTTCCAGAGACAATGCACTTTCCCTCTTTTTAAAGGGATGCACGAAAACGGGACAAGTAGTTGCTTTATTTGTTTGCAGCTAGCGTGGCTGAGCATGGGTCTGCTACCTGTTTGTCCTTCATGTGACTTTGGGGAGAAAGAAGAAGTGGTGTTTCCATAATCAGATCTTCAACAGATTTCTGATTCTTCCTCTGTGTTGCTCATTGTCCCACCTTAAATGCAAGAAGTGAATTTGATTGTTTGGAAAGTTGAGAATCATTTTAGTTCTAGGCTATATTAGCTTTGTTAATAAACATTTGACAAGGAAAACACATGCATCGATTTTCTCACAGGCTTTTGTTAGACAAGGGAAAAATAGTTTCTTTTTAGCCAAGATGGAAAGTTTAAGCAAGTAGATAGTTTTTTACCTAGGGGAGAATGAGGCAATAAGAGAAGACTGCAAACTGCTGTTTGCTCATGTTATGTGAAGGTGAGTGCCTTCTCCATAGGAACCTATGGCAAACAACCGGGCTTGAAGTGAAAGTAACCTGACTGTCATTTATGAGCTATTGTGATTACAAAGTTGTCTCTGTTTGAAGGAACACAGCATTGGACCCACATAGAATGAGTTACGGCCTTCTCTAAATCTGCTAAAGACCTGGTCCTTTGGCACAAAGGTGCTTACTTCCTAGTCTGTCATTACACATGGCAATCCCATCTCTGGAGAATTTCAGGGCTCTTATTCCTAGGCAACAGAATTGCTCCCTATCCCCCAGAGCAAATCTGTGTCTTCAAGTCAGAATCACTTGCACTAACAGAGATGGTATCAGACAGTTCTGCACAGTGGCTGTTTACGGTGTGCAGAGTAATGGAGCAAGTCCAAACGGTATCCAGAAGTAAGGATCCATTCCAGACCATTTTAAAGGCTGTGTGCTCAGTTATATCACTGAAACAAAATAGTATAGGTTTCCTGCTGTCAACCTTGTCATCAAGGGCTCCAACACTCTCCTGGGATGCATGTGTAACTCAGTTAAGCTCAGTGCTGCACTCATATGAAATGTGGTCTAGACATGTCCTAGTTCTAAAAGCTCTGTGGCAGTTCTTAAAATCAGAAAGTCATTCTCCTGTTTAGTAACTTGAGAAAGAAGCAAGCCGGGAAAGCAAAAGAGGAGAGTGGAGCTAAGAGCCAGACCTGGAAAATGAAATATTCTAGATCAGTGGGAAAAAGAAAAGGAAAGAAAAAGGGACCTCAAATTTTGGTTGAATGATTAGCACAGATAACTTGTCTACGTTTAACACCTGTACGCTTTTAAATAAAATTTTAAAAAAATCTTTCTAGGTGACAAAGACATTCAATTCAATGCAATTCAATGAAAAGCACATTTATATTTGATTCTGTGTTTTTCTTAGGATAGGATCTGTTGGCTAAAACAGTAGGACTCCACTAAAAATTACTTCTTTTATAATTCCCAAATCTCTTTTCTTGCAGGACATATTTTCTGGATGTCAGCTGAGTTACTAAGGTAGCTCTGCATGTCAGTAGACCAACCTTGGTAGAATCACAAGGCTCCTGGAGACACCTATTTCTCCTCATTTTTGTGTGTGCGTGTCCTCACTGAACATTCAAAACTGTTTCTCCAAAGGGTTTTGCAAAAACTCAGACTGTTTTCCAAAGCAGAAGCACTGGCATCCCCAGCAGAAGCGATGGGCAGTGTGCGAACCAACCGCTATAGCATTGTCTCTTCAGAAGAAGATGGCATGAAGTTGGCCACCATGGCTGTTGCCAATGGCTTTGGGAATGGGAAGAGTAAAGTTCACACTCGACAGCAGTGCAGGAGCCGCTTTGTGAAGAAAGATGGCCACTGCAACGTTCAGTTCGTCAACGTCGGGGAGAAGGGACAACGGTACCTCGCTGACATCTTCACCACGTGTGTGGACATTCGCTGGCGGTGGATGCTGGTTATCTTCTGCCTGGCTTTTGTTCTCTCCTGGCTGTTTTTTGGCTGTGTATTTTGGTTGATAGCTTTGCTCCATGGAGATCTAGATGCATCGAAGGAGAGCAAAGCTTGTGTATCTGAGGTCAACAGCTTCACAGCCGCCTTCCTTTTCTCCATTGAGACCCAGACAACCATAGGCTATGGCTTCCGGTGTGTCACGGATGAATGCCCGATTGCTGTTTTCATGGTAGTGTTCCAGTCGATCGTGGGCTGCATTATTGATGCTTTTATCATCGGTGCAGTCATGGCAAAGATGGCAAAGCCAAAGAAGAGAAATGAGACTCTTGTCTTCAGTCACAATGCTGTGATTGCCATGAGAGACGGCAAGCTGTGTTTGATGTGGCGAGTAGGCAATCTTCGGAAAAGCCACTTGGTAGAAGCTCATGTTCGAGCGCAGCTCCTCAAATCTAGAATTACTTCTGAAGGGGAGTATATCCCCCTGGATCAAATAGACATCAACGTTGGCTTTGACAGTGGAATTGACCGTATATTTCTGGTGTCTCCCATCACTATTGTCCATGAAATAGATGAAGACAGCCCTTTATATGATTTGAGTAAGCAGGACATTGACAATGCAGACTTTGAAATTGTTGTGATACTAGAAGGCATGGTAGAAGCCACTGCCATGACAACACAGTGCCGTAGCTCTTATCTGGCCAACGAGATCCTTTGGGGCCACCGCTATGAGCCAGTGCTCTTTGAGGAGAAGCACTACTACAAAGTGGACTATTCCAGATTTCATAAAACTTATGAAGTACCCAACACTCCCCTTTGTAGTGCCAGAGACTTAGCAGAAAAGAAATATATCCTCTCCAATGCTAATTCATTTTGCTATGAAAATGAAGTTGCCCTCAGAAGCAAAGAGGAAGACGACAGTGAAAATGGAGTTCCAGAAAGCACCAGTACAGACACACCCCCTGACCTTGACCTTCACAACCAGGCAAGTGTACCTCTAGAGCCCAGGCCCTTACGGCGAGAGTCGGAGATATGACTGAGCAGTTCGTTCTCTGGAATATTTGCTTATCTACACAGTCTGTTGCTCAGAGGCCCGAAACAGTTACACAGACGACGGTACTGGTCAGGAGGTGGGGCAAGGCAGGTGGCCACAGGGGACTGAGGCTAGCACAAGTGATTTCAAGAAAGAGTGTTAGCCCGATGATTGAAGTGAAGGACTCCACAGGCCTCAGCGTGACTCAGTGGCACATATACGTTATAGACTAAGTTATGGGTTTTTAATGTATTGTTTTGTGTTTTTACAAAACTTGAATTTGCAGGCAAGCCTCGGTTGGGTATTTGACTTATCCAGGACGCTTCTCTTTAGGGAACAAGAATGTTTTTAATGGCATAACAAAGGCAAGACTTTGCCTTCATGTTTGAAAAGCTGCTAACTACATGAACACAAATTGTATTTTTGTTGCAGTGTAGGTTTTCTTTTATGTAATTTAAAAGTCAGTGTTGAACTTTGCTGAAAGCTCATGTTGCACTGCGAGTGGCAAGTATTTGGCTATTAACTGCCAAAATGAGAGCCTGATTTTCTGAGGCCAGTAATTTGTTTGCTACAATTGATTTCTCTCTCTCTCTCTCTCTCTCTCTCTCTCTGTCTCTCTCTCCCTCTCTCTCTCTCCCCTCTCTTTTTCTCTCTTTGGTTACATAAGGGCATTATGTAACACTAGCCAAATGGTAGCCTCTGAGTTTTTTGGGTTTTATTTTCCTTTCTCTCCAGGATATTAATGGGTTATCTCAAATTTTAAGTTAGACTACCTAAAGTGAATACCAAAGATAATGCACATTTTTGCACAATGGAGCTTATACTAAAAAGAAAAGAAAGCCCCACCGGTTGCCTTGAAATCAAGAGACAATAACTTTGAACCTCAGCAAAACCTTGAAATGCCTGTTCATTTTGCACCTTATTCAGAAAACTGAGCATCAAAACAGAGTCTAGTAAGGGTAGTGCTTTTTAAACTTTGTCTTTTTCATGTACCCTTCTTACTGGAAGAGGAAGAAGAAATGGAAGGTACAATTCACCCACATCCACACAGTATCCATACCTTTTCTTTCCTGCTGTAGGTAGTGCTGCCCAGGTGAATACATAAAGCAAGCAATGATGATAAACTCTTAGATTTGTCTGGACTTTTCCCTTTTTTGCACATTCCAACACTTATTCCATAAGATAAGATCTCAGTTGGACTTTGCCTGCATTCTGGAATCCTCCGAAAGGAGCCGTCCAGCATGAAACAGCAGTAGTTAAACAGTTGTGGCTCAATTCATGGCCTTGACTGTCAGGACATTTTTAGCTTGGCATCACCTTAGAAAAGACACCATGCCTGGCCTTTTGGGTATTTTCTCAGATCAGCCTGTCTGGAGGGAGACCTGCAGTGTGGGAGCAAGCTACAGATGATGATACAGAGTAGCAGGGAGTTACAGACGAGCCTCTCCCATGCAACACTTTAGCTTAAGTATTCATCCACAAGAGAGAGGAAAATTGCCTCTTTTTATTGGAGAGGGCAGAAATGAGAATATCTCAGTATTTTAGGATCAAAGATTGTCATATAATCATGCAAGATGATTGCAAGTAAATGCAATAATACCCCCAAAGGGGTATTTCCCTCTCGGTGTGCATATGTATGACCACTGTGAGCCAAAGCATTGTTTTTTTGTGGAGCCCTAGAGCAGAGTCCCGGGACCCTGTTTTCCAGACACCTCTCCTGCCTAGCTATCTGCCTTGCTAGAAACTACTCCTCTTCCCCAGCTCAATAATGGAACTCTTCTTTTGGTTTAAAGTTCCCTATTTGTGAATTCTGGGGTTGCTGACTTTTCTTTTTAATTGGATTCTCAAAATCAACTCTCTTGTGGTATTATATCCTGATATGCCATTAAAAAACAACTTGTTCTAGAATCCTGTACTTTGTAAATTGATGTTTGGAATGGTCTCTGGTTTTTGAACAGCCATATATGAATGCAATGCCTGCAGAAATATGACCGATTCTGCTGTTTGCAGCCTTCCATATTGATGGATTTGAAATCCACAGGTTATTTTCACTGAAACCAAGAAAGAGAGGTTAAGCAAGTGGATATTATTTAAAATCCAAATTTAAAAGCAGGTTTGGGAAGTTGTTTGAAGAGTTGGAGGAAATGGGGATGAGAGAATTTATAGAACAGACAATAATTTGACCCTTGACAGTGAGAGGCTATTGAGAGCTTCAGCTGCTGCTATTATGATGTTCTGCAAAGGGAAATAATCAAACCAAAGAGTATTGAGTGACATGTAAATTAAATGAAGATGCAGGGGAGAATGGGGGTGATGACCCAGAAGGCCCTCCCCCCAAACACACAGTGCTACCACGTAAAAAGACTTGAGATATGTGAAGGGGGTGGGTAAAAGGACAAGAAAGAGAGAGGGAAATCTTTCAACTTATTTCTGAAAAAGAGAAAATAAAATCTAAAATTTCTGGTGCACAGGTTTGTTTTGTTTTTTTTTTTCAAGAGAATTTTGCAGAAGCTATGTTTTTAAAGTGTACATTTTATAAAGTTTATCAGATATTTTCATATTTAAAGCCAAATGTAAATAGAAATGTGTAAAGCAAAAAAAAAAATTGCCATAGAAAGTATAATTTCAGTGCAGCAATTTCTGAAAGCTAGTACCTATATGCTACCGGTTAGCATGGTTTTAGCAAATATTTACCAGCCTTATAAGGTTCGTAATTGCTATGTTCTTCTGTTATTTATTTCAGCATGGACTGTTCATTTGAAAGCTTTTCATAGTTACTAGCATTTTAAAAGTTACAAGCTTTAAATGGCTGTTTTGTTGTTGTTGTTGTTGTTGTTATTGTTAAGAGCCAAGACACAGGTAATGCACAGCATTTACTGCTGCATTTTACCTTCAAAATAGTTGTCCTTATTGACTGGGTCTCCTTAACTAGTGCAAACCTGTCACTAGAATGCAGATGGAAGGGACTCACCTTGAATATCTGGGGTGGATTCCCAGATGCGTGTTGCTTCTCTATTGCAAGCAAATCCCTGTTGAATTTCCTTAGGATATATTCCCTTTTAAAGAATGTTTGCCCATATCTGGATGGGCATTATATTTGGGGGGGGTGTAGATTCCTGGTTATTCTATTTTTAAATAAGAGGTAGACAAAGTGAATTCTATTTTGATTATTGAGAAAGGAATAGTTTTCTATCCCTCTAAGAGTATACTTGAATCAGACATTTTAAGGATGTCACTATAGCACTGTAGTCATTTCCAAATTCCTACAGGAAGTTTGTTTTACTTGGTTTTTGTTCTATTAGTGCATTTCTTCCTTTCATTTCCTTTCTTCCCTGCATACTCCCACCCCAAATCTCAGTGTGTATTTGAAGAGCTCTGTCCCCCAAATCATGCTCCTCTTGCAAATAATAAATGAGAGTTTATATTTTTTAATAAGCCAATTTATAAAGGCAAAAGCGCTTGTCCTGAGTAGGGTGAGTTCTTTTCCACTCTGTGTCTAATAATGTCAAGGGGGGAAATTAAAAGTGTTGTATAGTCGTGTCCCCACCCACAACCTTCAGCAAACTAGAATTTCTTTAGTATCGTGAGGTTTCAGCTCTGGGCTCCAATGAGTTGAAAAATTTTGGCCTTGGACAATCATGTTAGTCATTATTTTCCCATTTGCCATCTTTTTGTATCTACAGTCTTCCTATTGTACTGCACAAACCATGGATTGTACATATTTTTATATATTATGTCTTATTTTATTATTTCTAAATAAAAAATTAAAAATGAATTTGTGCAAGAATTGTCTGTTCCACTGTCTAATTACTCTGGAAATACTACTGAAATACAAAGCAAATGTTCCCAAACAATAGCACAAAACCCCTGATAGTCTGGATGAATAGGGTCATAGAAATTGCCTGATCGCACAGGTGCAATGGAGTGGCAGATTAGTTTAATCCAAGTTAAAGGAAGTCAAGCTCATATTTTGTTTTTGGACAGAATGGTCTAGGTAGAAAGAGAATAGAAAAGACCAAAATCAACCAAACAAAACTAACATAAATAGTATTAGGGTTAGATTTCAATTCTCTATGTAATAATAACAGTTATTCTCTATTGAACCTTGATAGTATGTAGGTTCTGGCTTGTATATTGTTTTATTCATTTTTTCCCCCAAAATAGGTCAGAGCATTATTATTCTCTTCTTGAGGACCAAGGCTTGGAAAATAGGGAACATAGGGCCAGAGGGTAAATACTTTTAGCTTTGTGGACCAGTTTTAGTCTGAAGTAAGCAAATATGCCCCTGTAGCTCGACAACAGTCACAAACAACATGAAAACACACAAAACATCATAACTCCAGGCAGCGGGTCCAATTTGGTTTTCAGCCTATCATTTGTAAACTGCTGCTACATGTGAGAAAACTGAGACTGAATTTTGAAGTTAATGAATTACTGAGATAGTACTAGAATTCAGGTTTTTTTAGTTTCCAAACTCAGGGTGTCACCAAGGTATATATCGTCTCGGGACACAAAATTATAAAGGATATGTGGACTGGGAGAAAATGCCACTTCCTCTAGCAAATTTGGAATAGTGCTTTTGCCAGTGGGAAATAACTGAGGAAATTTGCTTTTTGAAATACGATTTTCTCCTTAATAAATTTTCTTTTCAAAATACGCATAGGAACGTTTCAAACACGGTTTTAAGTTATTTCTCCATATTAAATGATTGAATCTTTTTTATTTTGTAGTAGTGGAAGTTCACATTCATCTTAGCGAGTAGGTACATGTCCTTAACATATCTTAATTCTTTTTATTCCTTTTCCCTTCCATCTTCCTCCTTCCATCTCTAGACCACATTTCCCATTTTCACTATTATTGTTGGTTATTATTATTGTTATTATTATTAGCTCATGTTTTCCACATATGTTTACATTCACTGTGGATATTTGGTACGTGGAGAAGACTCCTCTTGAATCTCTTTACCTCCCCTCCCTTCTTCCTTCCTTCCCTTCACCCTTGCTATCTTCAGTCTCAACAGCAACTCCATGGCTCTGTTATCTTCCACATTTAAGGAACGGGAAAAGGGAACCCCAGAGAAGCCCCTGTCCAGAGGATTCAGCCAAGAGGTCTTGGACAGAGCAGAAGTTTAACCCCACCTGTCCCCACTGGACTGGCTTTGTCACCTGTCTCCTCTGATGCATTCCCTCCCTCGCAGGCAAGTGTGGTAAAGTGACAGCATTTCATCCAGGGCCTTTCTGCCTGTGCTTTTGCTTTTGCTCTCCCCAGTGACGAAAATGTGCTCTTTTCTTTCCTCACACAGGAAAGCAGGAAGGAGCTCAGAATCCCGGCCTCTTTCTAACCCGCAGCTCGATTCTCCATTTAGTATTTGGAGAGCAAGAACAACTCTCGAGGGGTAGAATAATTACAAACCTAAACATTGGTTGTGGGATTTGGGTAAATGGGAGCTTCAGATTAATTTCAGTGAACTAGGAATTGCTTAGACCTGTCTCCAGGCAAAACCACAAAGCTCTGTTACTAACCAAACTGCAGGCTCCTAAACTCCCCCTGCTCCCGGCTTTCCTGCCACCACAGGCAAAGGTGTAACAGGATCCTCTTGCTTTCTGACCATTAAGCTTTCTGCCTAGCTTGGCAAAGCCAGGTGGACTGCTCTACAGGCCTCGCCTATGTTTTTATTTTTGTTTTATTAAATCTATATACAAAACGAAATCCCTCCTGGAACTTATTTTCCTGCCAGGGAGGACTTCTTTTAGATTGACAGCCAAGCAAGGCTTCCAAACTCCAGCCTTCTTAAGCAGCTTTTCCTCAGATAACACTTGCAAAGAACAAAATTCCTTTTTGTTTTAGGACTGTCCACTGTGTGGCTAGCAAACCTATTAAATCAATTGGCTTTGTTTCCCGCAATTTAACTGCATACATATATACAAGAAGGAAGGCGAATTCTATGAAGTTTTTAAAAAGCAATGAGCCAAGTCCACGATTAGCATATTTCAAGATCTCAGAACCTTTTTTTTTTCAAAATTGTTCAGAGCAAGGAGCCTAATGGTCTCATGATTACAGCCACTGTCTGAGGGCTGTTATATTGACTCAAAAAGATTTTCATAATCACAGGGCAATCTCTATGAGGAGGAATAAGACTATCAGAGCCTCTGGCTCTGGAATAAGATGTTCAACTGTCCTGATTTGCTTGCACATGAGGGATTCCCAGGGTGAAGGACCTTTAGTGCTAAAACTGGAAAGATGAAGCAACCAGGGTGGAATCAGTCATCCTATTTTTGAAGCTGGAGGTGTAGAGTAGTTAGGGTGAGGAGTCGGAGTTACAGTTAAGAAAGATGTGGAGAGGGGCATGAAGCAAGGTGTGCCACCTTCTGCACATGAGCTTTCCTAAATACCAACAATAATAATGGTGAATAATTTTACACATAAGTGGCTGTCTCCAAATAAATTTGTTGCCTCAAGGGCATTCATTGTTTTGGAGGAAGGGTTTCCTTAAGTTACAATTCTAAGCATTATTTTAAAGATGATATAAATTCATTAAAGCTAACTTGGGTGACTGAAGGTAATGTGTATCACTTCCAGGTGGCATGTATATGTATTCTAAATTTCTTATTTATCATGAAAGCCTTGGATGGTATTTTTTTCCACTGCCAAAAATCTAGCACCATTTACATTTTTGCTTTTCTGACTCACTGTGTGAAAGAAATCAGATTAATAGACTGTGCTCTAGATTATATCATATATGATACACCATTGATAGCATATCATAGATCATCATATCATAGAATATATAGTAGAGATTATTGGTGAGACTCATCAAATACTTCTGTTTAACAACAGAATACCATGCAGACAGATAATACTGTTAGAATAGAAATGACCTGGCTCAACATAAGAATTTTATGGTGACAATACTCACTTTCAGGGATCTTTTGATTTCAGGGTTGAGATGATATTCTGAGAGCTTGAGACTGTTAAAACATTTGACTTCTAGAGAATTCTATTCAAGTCATCTAACACTTTTTGAAAGAATTCTTACATTTTAAGCTGGGTACTTACATTTTCTATATGGACTTTTTTTATTAGATCAAAGTTAGGGAAGTGGTCAGTACAGTTGTGCATTTGTTTTGCCCAAAAGTAAGAAAAGTAGATGCATTTTAGATAGGAAAAATACATATAAAATAATAATTTCCAATCACTGAGAATTTGGGCTTTAACCACTGCACAGATAGGCATACAGTTCTTGTCCTTAGAAAATGAATTATTTCTTTTTCTAGGTTGTCACTGTGGATTCAAATACTTATGTAACACCTTACTGGGAATTGGGTACAGCATATATCACTTGAATATTTTAATTGTGGCAATTTTTAAAATTTTGAGTTAAATTTTACTATTAAAAAGGAGCCCAGAAGTCAGGAGGAATTCTATTTTAATGACAAATATGGATAATCAATATTGCAAATATCAAGCCAAGTGTGATGGTGCACCCCTGTAATCCCAGCACTCGAAAAGCTGTGACAGGAGGATTGCTTCAAGTTCGAGGCCAACCTGGGCTACAGTGTGAATTCAAGGCCAGGTTGAGCTGCATTGCAAGACTCTGTCTGAAAAAATACAAACACCGAAGAACAAGGAAAATATCATTTTGCACAAAATAACTAATGTATGATCATGTAGAACTTGCAGAAGGATAATTTGTTTAATTGTCCATGATTATGGTAGATCCCAAAATGGCCCAGCAGGCCCTAAAAATTGTGCTGTACAAAGGAAGTAGATTTAGATTAAGTAACCAGCCTTCTGATAGGATGGCTTTGAAGGACATCTCACAAGTTTATAAATAAATTGATGCAGCCTAAAAACAAAAATGCCCAACATAAAACCCCACCTCTCCTCCTACTTCATGATGATAAGTTTTGCCTTTGCTTTTGATTTTTACCTTTGAATTCTAGATAAATATTATCAAAAATATTCATGCTAATATGTAACCTTAATGAGGCAAATTTCTTTTTCTCAACTTCATAATTTCTTAAATTTAGAAAGTGTAAATCTTTAAAATGTAATAATATATACCACTTCCTTCTTCTCTAAACCTCTCTCCAGAAACTTTACGTTTAATCAATTTTTCGCATAGTAATTTTTAAAGGTCTGTTATATACCCTCCCTCCCTTCCTTCCTTCCTTCCTTCCTTCCTTCCTTCCTTCCTTCCTTCTTCCCATTCTGCTTCTCTTTTTTTGTTTCCCTCCCTTCCCACCTCCTTCTTTCCTTTCACATATTTTTATGTCTCTCTTATGTGCCAGGCACTCTATTTTTGTTAGTATTGTAGTACTATTTAGAAATAACTCTCAATAAAATCACAACAGAGCTATTGGATATTAAAACGTGGTAACTTAACATAACATTCACCCTAAAATTTGGAAGTGCTTATTCTGAAAGTTTAAGTTGATTTTGATCTTGTGGACCTGTCCTCTCCCTTTTTCATACTAAGTGGCTGCTCTGCCCCTAGATTCTGGTTTGATTAGTTCTGGGGATCATCTTTGCCTCTGCACCTCCTCAGTCCTGGCGTAAGGGCCAAAGGACAACACTTGGGTAAGTGTTTGAGTTCACTCGTGCCCAACAAATGAAACAAATCTCTACTTTATAATTTCATTTGACTTGTATTTTTAAAATCTTTGCTACGATAGTTCTCTATATAAAGCCCCAGTTAAGCTACTCTTTATTTGATCCTGGAACAAAGAGAATGTCTCACTAAATAGTTCCTTTAAAAATACATAGATAGCTGCA